ATATTTAATATCTTATAACAAAAAAACTAATATACTAACGTAAATTTATCTGCAAAACATTTTACCCTAACTCAAGTAACAAATATATGAATTTATATAATACCTATACGTGAGATACGAAACCTAATTAAAAGGTAGAAAAAACATAACATACCTATAAGCAAGACACATTAATCTGTGACAGGTTGATTATAAAAAAAGAATATGTCATATAGGTAGATAAAATAATTAACCTGTGATATAGGTTGATTATAAAAATTAAAAACAAAATCTATAAATGGGGTTTAAAGCAGGAGAAAGAACGAGAAATAACAAAAAGACAAATAAAAAGAAATAAGCAAAAAGATAATTGGGAAGAAATTTGATTTTTATAATAAATCTTATCATTAAAGAGATAACCATTGATAATTAAATAATTAAATATAACAAATTGAATTTATTTTAATAAACTGGACTATTCCTACTATTGACTAAAAAAATTGGACTTATATCAAGTTTTCCCTAGAAAAAAACTCTTGCTAACAACAAGATGTCTTTGTAACACGGCTATCCAAGTTAGTACTCTAGCATGCATGTTTTGATTATATGAACACCTTAAATTAACATTAAATCGATTAATCTAATTAAACACACAGCTGCCATGAGACTATGAGAGAAACCAACTTAACCAAACCCTAGCGAACTAGTTTAACAATTCTCCATGCACTATTTTGCAGGCCGGCTTGTGTACTGGGAATAACAACTAGCGAGGCACTGATTCCACTTAAGTTAGAAAAGGAGAAATTAATGGAAACTCTTTCAGAATATGTAAAATAAAATAATAATTAATAAGATCAAATCATTAATTATAAACACTCAACAGTATGCAAACAAAATCTTACAGACAACATGAAGCGACCTGCAATAATAATTATCATGCTCTCACATGTTTGGAATCATCTACACAGCAAGACTACTAATTAGATATGAGTAGAAGTAGCACATGTGAACATGTTAATTAAAGAAAAACAACTTTAATTACTTAATTAAAAGTGAAGGGAAACACTTGATTCAGAACTAGCTGGTAGCCAAAAATTCAGAACAAACTAGGTATGTGTGGATTTGCTAGGGTTGATGTAGCAAATGATCGGACCGAGACGCTTGATTCCCCTTGAGCCAAAGAGTTAGAAAGCCCTTTCGTCGGAGAAACCCTACTCATACAATAAGTAGGGTTTGATCTCATGTAGAAGAAGGAGCAGTACTAGTGAAAGCCTATGCCAGTTCTCTCCTCCTCCTCCTCCTCCTCCTCCTCCTCTTCTTCTTCTTCTTGCTGTTGATCTTGATCAGCTGCTGCTTGTTTCTTTGGCAGCAGTAATAGCGGAAGGAGAAGTAGGTTTCCTGCAGGTGATGAGTAATGTTGGAGATGATGATGGTGGTGGTGGGGTTGGTGGATGGTGGTGGTGGTGGTGGTGATGATGATGGTGATAAAGGTGGGGTTGAGGGGGTAATGATGGTGGTAGAGAGTCAGAGGGAAGGGCAAGGAGGAGAGCATCATGATTGCTGTTTGGTTCTTGTGTTGAAACTTTGAACAAAAATCCAAGCTATTGCTATTGTGTGCCATCGCTGTTCTTTCTCTCTCTTGATGGAGATCGAGGAATTATTATCATGAAGGCCTTTGGTGTGTGGTAGCTTTTTCAAGCCCCCCAGCTCCTGTTTTCTAAGAAAAGATTTTTGCATTTTCTATAAGGAAAAAGGAATCTCCTGCAACACTTGTTGGACCCCTCGGTTCCTACACCCCAATCAACTTCCACCAAACCGTACCTTCTAATTCTACTTGTCTAATATTTTACCTCAAAAAAATCTACATTTCTAATAGGTTAATGCTAGTATGTTTATCAACGTTTAATTAATAATTCAATTATCAACTTTTATGTTATTTAGTTTACAAAATTTAGTCTCTCTAGTATTACCTTTGTTAATATTGAGTTCAAAATTTTTTTCTTCGTCACATGGTAGTTAAGAAAACAGATGATTGAAGAATGCATGGTCACACACCTTTAAATATAACATTAAGGTTGAAGACGTGCTTAGCCATGAATTTTTGGTCACATGATTACTAAGAGAATGAGATTATACCTAATTAGTGTAGTTCTTCTAAAAATTTAATGTTAATAAAAGATACTAGTTAAAGAATCAAACTCTAAAAAGAAAGAATAAAAAATCATGAATTACCGCAATAACAATATTGGATTCCTAATAACAATTGAGTTCGTGAGTTTTTTTTTCCCTTCAGTGGTGTATTTTTAGTGTTTTTCACTATGAAAAAGGAATTGTAGGGGTTTTTTTAGTGAAGAACTAGAGTATACTATATTTTGCTCACCTCCATTAATATCATATATTGTCTTGTAATATTACATATATGCATAATAAAATTACACATTCTAATTAAATAACAATTCAACAGAAAAAGTATTGTACAAAAGAAAGTTAAACGAGTTGGTCCTAAATAGTGAGACTCCAAAATTAGAAAAGCTTAGGTGGTGTGTACATTGCAGCTTAAATTTTCAAGTTCTTTTCTTTTTACATGCTCTTTATTTTTTAAAGAAAAACTAACAAAAAGTTTTAAAAAGTTTGATTTTTAATAAAAAAACATTTTTTAAAGGTATAATGAAAAGTAACGGAATAGATATACAAGTAGTTTTTCGTTAAAAATGAACAATACTGAAAATGGTTGGTTAAACCTCTCATTTTTTAATGGTCTACAGTAAAAGGCTGTTTGTGACTGTATATAGAGAGTTGCTGAAACCCTGAAAGCTTTATCGGTTTTAGTTAAAGATGCAAACGGCAGGCCAACATATATAAACCAATATATATAAGAAACTAATTAAAAATGGCAGAGGAATCTAGAAATGATCAAGAATGACAGAGATAAAGAATCAAATAATATCTTTACATGAGAGAGAGAGAGAGAGAGAGAGAGATCAGAGATGTGATACAAAATTGAGGGAGAACTTGTGAGGTTGTGACGATAAAATGCATGCTGTACTCCTGCAAAAGCAGTTTGTTAAATAGAAGTGGACAGAACTGTTTGCTAGTAATTCAATCTTCTTCCTTCAAAAACAAAAGTGGTCTTTTCTTATTTTTATAATTGCAAAGCTTGAAAGCTTGAAGCTTGAAGCTTGAAGCAGGCTAGCTATACCTGAAGTGCCTGGAGAGAAAGGATAAGATTCCCAAATAAAGCATATTTTGAAGGGATCATTTCAGTCCTCTCTATACCTGCAATGATCATCCTCAAAGTACTCAATTAACCATTCTTTTATTTTATGCTGTGTATAGTTTGTCCTGCAGGTGAAATGTGAAAAATCCCACATCTTGAATCCTGAAGAAAGAATGCAGGAATGTTCAATTCTAAATTCTGATTAAGCCCTAAACCCTGGATGTTAGGGAATGTGGAAGTCGAAAACATGACCATAGATGCATGGATGATATAATTGAAGTACAAGCTCATTGTTAATATCAGAGTGCTACATTGTACAAATATTTACAAAGTTATTTGCTAAAAAGAAAAAACATATATACTCTCTACTATCATATGATTCATTAGCATCAGGAATTGAACATGATTTTTCTTCACCATCCCAAATGATTCGTGCAGAATACGAGCTTAGTATTTGTCTCTAACCAAACATGGTTTGAATCACAAAAGAAAAAAGTTGCCTTGACAAAAAGAAAGTTGCAAGAAATTACCAAATAGTTAAACATGCAATGAGCCTGAAGAACATTATCCTTAATTCACAAATCAACTTGTATTAATTAACCACTCAAAGACTTTATGTTTTGACCCTGATAAAGTTCCCACTTAATTCAACCAGCCTTTTATTCCACTTTGTAATATAGTGCGACGGAAAAGAAAACCCTAGCTAGCCAAAAAAGTAGACATTCCCAGATATTCAAATCTTTTCAGCACCAAAACAAGGTCCAAAACCAAAGATCAAACGTTCACAGTATTTCGTGTCGAGCCAGTCTTTACCAGTGCTTGTTTCATGTCACAATCACTTTATGATATTCCATTACCATCCAAAGCATAACTTATTTTGTCATCCATTTTATTTGGATGAATTACGAAACCTAAATAAAACCGAATGTATACTTCATACGTTTATTCTCACATGATAAGAGAGACAAATATACAGAGTTATATCTAATTTCATGTAACTTATATAATATATATACTTGATTTAATGTAAATTTTAACTCAATATACACCCAATTTTATGAGATGATATAACCAACAAAAGAGTATATTGAGTTAAAATTTACATAAAATCGAGATATAACCAACAAAAGAATATACACCCAATACTAGATATAACTCTGTTTATTTGTCTGGAGTTCATGCAGTAGGCAATTAGGTTAGTTATTAACCAACAAAAGAAGAAAAAGAAAAAGGGGTTCGTGAGAGGCAGGAGCTGCTATGCCTCCAACAGGGAAAAAAGTGCTTGTTATTCCCTTGAAACCTGTTGATCTCTCAACTCTGGGTATCATCATTACATTGGAAAGTGGGTTGACACCGCCCTTGTTGCAAAAATAGTATAAACAATCGAACATTAGGCTGACAACAGAGCATGCACATTGCACACACTTTTGTTCTTGGTAGAAATTGTGTAGGGATGCCCAACAATTCATAAGATAAGTTTCTCAAAAGTATGAGATGCAATTTGAACTCGGTGTATTTGACCAAAAAAGAAGTTATAACTTGGTATTAGAGTGGGTTTAGTTAGACAATGGTATCGAATTTCTTTCGTTATTTCATTTTATCTATGTATTATAATTCCTCCTGATGCAATTCTCACTCATTATCGAAATGCTCTAATTAGACAGCCTTACTGAATATTTTTTGCTATTACATCCTGTTACTGTCATTTGATTTCATCCAACTCGACGCTGTCACCACTCATTAGAAAAATGCTCTAGTCATACTCATACAGTCCTACCGAACATCTTCTCCAATTCCATACTATCTTTACTCTTTATACTAGCATTTAACCTTTTAGGTGCAAGTAGAATATTGAGCAGTCAGGCCAACCGAACTGAGCCCACATAAGTTTTGCAGTCTCTTAGCTCAACAATCTTACTCGGGCCCTAATATTTGGGCCTAAATTATTTGATTTATGAAATAAAAAGTCGTTGAGGCCGAGACAGAGAGCGCGGGAAAGATGTTCGTTAGCCGTTGCGCAGTTCAATTCTCTTTGGGGACTTTCTTCAAACACCTTCCGGTATCAAATCCGGCGACGCTCTGTCCGTACAGATTCAGACCCAAAACCCTAACCGCCGCTACAATTCTTAGCTCCTCCTCTTACTTTGAGACTTTAGATTCCCGCCAAAAAGAGCAAGTCCATCTCCATGTCGACACTCTTCTCCAATGGAACCAGGTTTTCTCTCTCCTTACACTTATGCTCTGTTTGGTTGCTGAGAAAACTGTGGGAAAATCATGAAAAGATTACCAATTGATGAGATTTTTGAACTTGCAGAAAATGAATTTTACAGCTGTTAAGGAGGCGGTTGAGGTAATGGAGAGGCACATTGAGGACTCGCTTGCAATCATACCGTCTATTAGAAATTCCCTTCGTCCGAAAACCTCCGCCTTGTAGATGTGGGGAGCGGTGCGGGTCTTCCGGGTTTGATCTTAGCCATTGCTTGCCCAGGTAAGTAACTAGTTAGCAAAAGTTCCGATTTTTTTTGTTGCAGTTTTTCGGAAATTTGTATAATTTGTTCAGGTTTCGCTGGATAGGTAGGGAAGTGACACTGATGGAGTCTATGTACAAGATATGCATTTTCTTGGAACACGTTGTCGGTCACATTGGTTTGTTGAATGTTCAAGTGGTAAGAGGAAGAGCAGAGGTATTGTTTCGTGTTTTTCGTAGATATAATTTTGTTTCTAGAGATGTCAAATTAAGGATATGAAGTTTGGTTATAGGACAGAATTTGGTGCAGGCTCTTTGCTTCCGGGAAAAATTGGATGTAGCGGTAGCCAGAGCGGTTGCGGAAATGAGAGTTTTAGGTAGGAAAGAAAAATTCCTGTCTTGATTTCGTATGTGTATTTTGAGTTTCATTGCTGATTCTTGTTACTTCGGTGGTCAGCTGAATACTGTCTTCCTCTGGTTTGCGTTGGCGGTTTGTTTGTTGCTGCAAAGGCCCACGATCCTCAGGTATGTAATCGAAAAGTCTTATCACATTAACCATTCATTTCTGAAACCGTATCCAAAATGTCACTAAAAACTGAACTGGTTAACAATCTTGGGTTGTGGGAATTCTGTCTAGGGAGATTTATGACTTTAATTACTTCAGCAACATGACGAACAGCCCTTTGTTTTTTTTCTTTTTCCATTGTGCAGTTAAACTATTAGATATGAAATATTAAGCACTCTACATATTTGGCACATTTGAACAGGAGGAAGTTAGGAATGCAGAAAAAGCAATTCAGATTTTGGGTGCTTCCGTATGTGAAAACTTAACAAACCTATCATGTATAGGGGGGGGTGGGGGGGAGAGAGAGAGAGAGAGAGCTGAAACATGTTTACTGATGTAACCTCTGTTTGTATCCAGTGGAATCGCACAGCCCGTATGGACAAAGAACTGTCATCGTGTGTTTGAAAACTTTTCCTGCACCAAGAAAGTATCCTCGCGATCCAGGTACTCCAGAGAAAATACCACTGTAAAATAATTCAGATGCCCCCATTTCAAATGTTATATATACTTGGCTTGGTGTTCCTTCCCCTTTCATCAGTTATTTATGTAACACCTTCTGCTTTGGAAATGAAATGCGACATTTTGCAAGTTTTTTTTTTATTATTTCTGGTCGAGATCGGCGTAAGCGTTTCTTCAAATAATTTCGTGTCTCATAAATCAAGAGAACTTTCATGATTTCCATTGTGAGCCTTTTACAGTTCTACATTCACACAGGGTTTATTTCAGTGAAATTTTTCTAGGGGAGAAAAAGAAGAAGAAGTTGATCGCATCTACGTAGTAACAAAGAAAAATTGAACTCAAGAGCTAGAGAATGAGATCTGAGCTGATGAAAAATAGGAAGTGAACAAATATTTAGGATAATCTCATAAGGTCAGATTTTAGTATCAATTTTTCAGTGCCATACTAATTGCTGCTTTTAAACCATTAAATTACTGCTGGCTGAGCCATTAGACACCTCATTTGGTGGCAAACTAACCTACACATTGGTTGAATTGTGCCCGAGGTGTTCTCTACCGGCCACTCACATCCGCAAGATCTCATTGCACCCCCACCTTTCTTTCGGTCAATCTGTACTTCATAGGGTATCTCTCTCTCTCTCTCTCTCTCTACAAGGACATTGGACGTCTATGTCAATTGTAATGGTCCAGAGACGTACTTTAGTGTTTGCTCCACCTTTAGCCAGCACCACCCACTCCTTTTGATCTGAAAGTTTGGGGACTGAAGTCACTTTTTGTAGCTCAAGAGAAATTATAAAATTTTGGGTACTTGAAATCTTGGCTAAGCATGAACGTAATCAGGATTAAGCTTAGGTTTTACTTTGTAAAGCATTGTGTGACGTAGATAACCTGTTTTGCTTTGCCTGTATAGTTGACACCTGCACACAAGATTATCCAAATTAGATCATCAGTTCTTCTTTTTATCCTTTAATGTGATACTTATCTTTGAAAAAAAGGAGGTAAATCTCATACCTGTCATTCTTCTCTTAGACCATCTCTAACCCTTAAGCCAAAATCTAAAATTTTTAGTTTAGAAAATTTAAGTTTTAGCCCAGAAACAACTTTTCTGCTCCAATGATTCTGGCCTAAATTTTTTAGCCCAAGATTATTAAGGAATAAATTTAGGCTAATTTTTTATTTTAAAGTAATTAAAAAAAAACAAATTATGTACATTATCATAATTTAATTTTATGAACATTTTAACTTAAAAATATTTAAATTATGATAAATATTGAAAAATCACAAAATTTGGGTGAATTTTGAGTTAAATAATTTTAGCCGTTGGATTTAAATTTGGGCCATTAAATCTTTTTTATTTGATTATATTCAATCTCAGCCGTTGGATTCAATAAATCCTGAAAGACATGCCCATGTGTGTGGGGTCCCGCTGGTGGTGCCCACACTATTTTCTGGGCTAAATCTTGGAAGGAATTTGACTTTTGTTTGGCTTTTAGCTTTTAGCCCACACATTTAGCATGAGTTGGGTTGGATTTGGGGAGAATAAAACCTAAAAAATAGCATTTAGTCCAAAATTGGGTTTGGTCTTAGGTCAACAACGTTATTTAAATGACAGCACTCAGCAAGCATTGGATTTGAGACAAAAAGAACAAAAGTGAATTAGGTCAGAATAATGGTGTGCTTTCTGTCCTGAGATTATAAAATTACCGTGTTACCTAACTTCCCATCCACTTGTAGTATGAAGTTAAGAACTAATGGTAGATCATAAGGATGTTAAACTTCCACGTACGAAATTTGTAATTACATACTAAAGTAAGTAGATTTCTAATTAATCAGCTTTGGATAAGTCCTACTTTGGCTACCTGCTCCTGTCAAAGAAGCTCCTTATTGTAGAAGATAGATTTAGAAGATAATCTTGCTTTAGTTGCCTAAATTAACCCAACTTAGAGGGAAAGGAAGGTGAGATTAACAAGTAATCTCTCTCTCTCTCTCTCTCTCTCTCTCTCTCTCTCTCTCTCTCTCTCTCTCTCTCTCTCTGTGTCTGTCTATATATATATATACACACATATATATAGTCTATTATTAATGCATGTCAATTGCCAAGTTGCCAACCAATCCTGCTTTAAGCAGAGGAGTATATCTCTCTCAGGTGATGTCTTTCACATATGTCATCTACCGCTTTTAAAGTTTTTCCAGTTTTCATTAATTAATTTATTTTGAATTTGAGATTTGGCCTCTTGATTTGGGATTCATGTCATATTTGGTCATTAGTCAATTATTGGCTCTAATGTATTTGGATTTTCCCATATTTTTCTAATTTGTCATTTGTGAGGTGGGTTTCCTATCTGTAACTCTCTGATAGCCAACAACTTAAACATTTAGATTTTTTTTATATTTTTGCCAGAGCATGCTGAAGAATGTGACTCCCACATGCATGTTGTGACAGAGAAAAATTCCACTCAATAATTTAGACTTTAGAGCACACAAAAAGGAAAGCTCAGAAATTTTTTGATCTCTTTTATTATATTACAGTTTATAGCCTCCAGAGCAAAGTAAGAGAAAGTACAAACACTGTCTCCTCCTCTCATTAACTAAACCAAATCACTAGCAAGCACAATACTAAATCTGGAATGTCACGGTGACGGTATCTCAATACAATCACATATTTTTCATGTGAAAAGTTTGTGATTGTCTTTAAGTACCGTCACTGTAATATTTCACGTGCATATAAGTTTTTCTCGTAGAAAAAAAGTAAATTAGGGTCCTACAGTTCACTAGGAATAAAGACCTGCCAGACTTTGATGTCACAGTCCAAACCACCACTGTAAATAACACAGGAGGAGTCAGATGAGCTGCAATGGTCATCAATTGTAGCAGTTAAACACTTCACTGGACCTTTATGCCCTTCCAGAACTGCTAAACATGAGTAACTTCTATTAACCCCTCTCCAAATTCTTATACTTTTATCTGCAGAGCCACTACACACCAAGTCTGCCACCACAGCCAAGCACAATATTGACTTGGTATGACCTCTAAGCGCACCCAGAACTTCCATATTCCCACCCCCATCTTTCTTCTCCCAAACCACAATGGACCTGTCACATGCACCAGAATACAACACACACCCATCACTGCTCAGAGCTAGTGCATTCACCCCAGAATTGTGCTTTTCAAGTGTAGCAACTAAAAAGAGCTTTTTCTCTCCAAAGTCCTTTTTCCAAACCTTAATTTTTTTGTCTGCTGACCCAGTGTAAACATGTCCATCATTTGATGATGTTACTGCATTTATAGCATCATCATGTGCATTTGTCACAGACTCCAAGCATTTGAAGTCTTTTGTGCTCCAAACCTTGAGTGTACGGTCCCACGAAACCGAGTAGAGCAGCAGCTCATCGCTCGACAAGGCCAGTGCAGACACTGCGTCCACATGATGCACCCATGTGCACTTCTTGTGCCTTCTTATTTGGACATGGTTCTTCGGCATCAGGAGCTTCGAGGCGCGGTCAACAAGCGTTGGCAGCGTAGCTAGCCGCGAGCACTTTTGAAAATCAGGCTCCTGGCTGTCGATTTTCCACACTCGGATTTTGTGGTCCTGATGAGCACTGAAGAGCTTGTAACCTGAAATGGCCAGGGACTTCACTGCACCCTTCCCTGCAGCCACCATGTTGTGATCATGCTGAGTAGGGGTTGCGTTGTCGAATTCCAGTAAAGTGTTGCACCTCCACGACCGGATTTCTCTGTCAGACGAGCCGGTGTAGATGAAGTTTCCGGCTAGGGTTAGAGAGGATATGTAGGAGTTGTGGCCCTGCAAGGTGGTGAGGCAGTGGTGGTAATTGTTTGATGGAAAGCTGTGTTGCCTGTGGGATTGTGAGGTGAGAGAAGGAACTGACTGGAGACTTGGCTCAGAAGAAGGGTAGGGAAACTCTGATTGGTCATAGAGATCATTGCCTGAGTACTGATAGGATGAGTTGCATTCCATTACTGATCATGTTACAGAGGGAGAGGGAGAGGGAGAGGGAGAAGAAAAAGAGTTATTATATAGGGAAGGAAACAATGTTGGAGCATTATTAGGAGGCCTATATAAAGCTACAAAATATAAACAAATAGATTCTATGTTGGCAAAATGTGATGCAGCAAATATGGGTAATGCTAAGGAGATTAAATTTGCAAACTAAATGATGTGTTGCTAATAGGAATGAGCACGTTTATTAACGCTTAAGTAATAAAACAATTATCAACTTCCAAGTCTTTTAGTTTCCAATATTTAATTTATAAATTTAATCTCTCTAGTATTACTCAGCAAATATTATTGGCTCAGTTTATTAGGTGGGATATGGAGCCTAGGAATTACTTGTGATTTGGCATCCATCATGATTTTTATCAAATTATGCTGTACTTCTCTTACTCCAATGCAAGAGGACTTTTTCGTTGTGGCTATCACTCTACCGCATGATATTATTAGATCCTTCACGTTATGAAAAAATTTAGTTGTAACTTTGTATTCTAAACTCTATAATATATCAATTATATTGTTTACTTATGTTATAACACGTAAGTTAATAACTTCACGTAGAGGGATAACACATATCACACCCCCGAAATGCTACTGCCCAGACCAATAACACGACACCGCATGTTTGATGTTCTCTCGTTGTGCAGCATGATTAATTTGGTACACCATCACATTAGTGTTGCTATTTCATGCAGCGAGAGACAGAATCAGATGGTTCTGTACAAAGTTTGGACCTATGAAAAAACCGTGCAGGATTCGACTATTTTGGTCCCCATTTTGATTGCTCAGTTTTGTCTGTGTCACTGAGTCTGACCCTCCACCATATTTATATAACAATTTCTCCCTTTTGTGGTGGAGAAATTAAGTTCTACTCACCCAACCCTTTCCCTCCACCTACGCTAATATGGTTCGTGATTAACCCATGTTTAAGGTCTGATTGCCACCTAATTAATTATGATGCATGACCAAAAGATTAACCGAATTCTGAGGGCATTTGCAGGTGAGCAGAGCCGTCCGCTTCCCGATCAGCAACAATGGTACAAGGTTTTCCATAACTGAGTGAGAAAATGCTTCTTGATTTGATTTTTTTTCAATACTCTAATCCAATGGTTTTGGATGTATGCTTAATTTGACCTCACCAATATGATGGACGAACAATATGGTATGAGGACTTGAACC